CGTGTATGAAGATATTTTAACGGAGCAATTGATTGGATGCAATAAAAAAGTACATACCGTTTCCATAAAGAAAAAGAAAAACTATTACGTCGGTATAATATATTTTACCTCGATCTTGAGTGGAAGTTTGAAATGAATCGAATGAAAATTATGCAGAAACGCATTAGCCAAGCTAAAGTGTGTTGCTAATTTATTACAACGGAAAAAAACATCGTGCAAACCTGAATCACTGAATATTTCTCATTACAAACAATTAAGGAGACATTTGCGATATTAAAAAATTATTCCTGTTTTAAAATTATCTTCGTTATTTGCATGTCTAAATATTATCCAACCGCTGGTTAATGATTCAATTATCTTCACTTTAATATTCGAAGTAAAGTAAATACCGATCTGAAATCTAGTATTGCGAGGTATAGCTTAAGTCGAGCATTGTTGCACATCATACATAACACAACAATGTATTACATTCGATACTTCAGATTTTTTTTCGTTTTTCATATTTCTTTTTTTTTTTCATTTATACGTACCATTATATGTTCCTACATACTATCATATGTTTTTTAGGATTGCAGTAACAAATGTTTTGTAAAACGAGTCTAGTTTTGTACATGATAAGCAGAAAGGTTATGTACGTACTAAAAAAATACGTTAGTTTATTAGCAAATGGATCATGTTGCAACATTTGCAGAAGAATATTATAAATCGTTATACGTGTGTCTCATTGACGGAGTCATAAGAGTCGACTGTTAGAAGCGAAAGTCAGCGAGATCGTTTTCTAATCTTGTCCACAAAATTAGTATGCGTAACAGTGTTGCACTTTTTAGCTACGCAGTAGAGAACTCACCGCGTGGAAAAACATTTCGTGCATGACACGTGGTCGTGAAAATGGGGGGTGCAAGCTGGCTCAATCGCGTTGCGATGAAATTCCACGCGGATTCTTTTTTACCTCGCGTAATCGAAACGAATTCACTCCGGTAAGCCGGCCGCGTCGAGGTATCCCGATCCGGTTGTTAGATATTCAGCCGACGAGTCAATTATCATATTAACAGCCGGAATGTCGTATGCCCGACCGGTGTGACTTATTGGATCGAATATTTTCAGCGCGCGTAGGCGTAGTCTGGCCGAGGGAGTCGTCGCGATCGAGTAAGCGATTAATGGTTTCGATCTAGATCGCGCGTAGATCTCTTTCTCGTCGTTATCGCCGGCCGATCGTTTTATAGTACCTCGTCTAGATCGAGGACGCCGAGTCGATGAAATCTCCGGTTCCGTCCGATTCCTTCCGCGAAAACTGGTTTCCATCGATGTTGACACTTTTTTTCTCGAATACAGTTGGGATCCTTGCGTCCGCGGCGGGTTGGTTCCAAGGACAAATCGCGGATAACGAGTTATTAACCTAACCTGGCTCTGTTGCACACGTACCATTTTTTTGATTGTAACGCAATTTTGTTAGTTTGTTGTACGTAAATGGGTACCATTAATTGAAAAGATTGTTACTGCATGAATGTGTTTCAAGTTGCAAGGCCAACTATAGATAGACAGATAGATAGGTATCGAAATTTCGAATCTAACCTAAATTAAGCCGTAGGTAAGTTAGGTATCTTCTCTTATTGTGGGTGATGTGAATTTTCGTCCGTTCATTACCATCATCATTACTAGTTGAAGCTGATATCGAAATGCTAACCTCATCTGACTCTGTTATAGATTAGTTTATTATACACGCATGAATACACGCAACATTAACATGTAATTGCCTAAAAACAAAATGAGAATATCATCGTTGCAGGAATGTTTTAAAGCTTATAATCTTTTAGTGCGATATGGCTAAAGTGTAAGATGACCTATTAGCTATTCTATACATATATTTTTTTACTATGATACAATTTTATTAGTATAATGTATATCATCATTATACAAATGTATTGAAGCTCTTGTTAGAAAAGTTAAAAGCATCATGTCTCATATGTATATGGATTACAAAATTATGATCATGAAAATTATTGTTCAAAATAATTGCCTTGAACATAATAGAAGTCTCTCTGTAATAAGTGAATTTATGAAAATAAGCTCTTCCCGAATCACAGTTAATAGTTAGTAATTTTCGAATTTAATCCAAAACGGAATTTCGCGAACAGTGTTTTTCGAAAGGAGTAGTAAAAAAAATTCGTTAACATCAAGAGTCGGTGTGAAAGTTCAGAAGAAAAGCGAAAAAAGGTGGTGGAAAAGCGGCGCCATATTAGAAGCGACCTGTTTTCGAAACGATCGCCTTGGGAAATCGACGCCTAAGGAACACCGCGAGAAGACCGTTTTAACCTCTTGCGCTGGCAACTGGTTCACGGACCATAACGAGTGGCCGAATCGTATATACAATAATTCTTTTTAAATTCGTCGGTAATGACGATCAATCGATAGGAATTACTAAGAAGTAATAAATTTGCTATTTGTCTTCTCGGTTATATTTGAATATATTTAAAGCTGAAAAAAATATTGCAATTTTGGGACCAAAAATTCTTGACGTGCGTGGAACGTCATTCCAGCGTAAGAGGCTTTTTCTCTCCTTTTTT